TGTTCCTTCCCCCCCCCCCCCCACCCCGTGCGGGCGGGCTGTGCCCACTGGCAGAGCTGGCAGCGATCTCAGGATGCCCTTCAGCAAGCCACGGGAGCTCGCAGCCGCTACCTGGGGACAGTGAGAGCGGAGATGACTACAAAAACACCGGGAAAACAAGCTCGTACGCAGAGGGATCCTAGATTTCAGCGAAACCCACGAAAATCCCCATTAGCCACATCAAGCCTCAGAAATTCGGAGTCACAACGTGCGATTCAATGTATCGCCCGCAAGAACCGGCCTCTCGAACGCGAGGGCAGAGACGGGTTTATCTGCCCCCAGTCAGAGACCACGGGGTTTGGCGGCACCAGTGACAGCGGGTACAGCAGGGTAGCTGGGAGCTCAATATCCGGCGACTATGGCAGTATCTCCGGCTGCAGCATCGGCCGTTTTTCTGCCTGTTAAATCCTCCGTTCCGAGGCTGTAAAGCAGCCTCCGGCCGCCGCGGCGCTGCGGGAGCTGCAGCCCCCGCGGGAGCTCTGGGCAGCGCACCCGCCTTCAAGCCCCGCCTCGGCTGCCACGATCGCATCGCGCCCGATATCACCGCTGTTAATCAGCAATATTCTCCAAAACAATCTGCGGTGGGAATGAGAGCCTGGGCTGGCAGCCCTGAGCGAAACCGCTCTCTTGAGTCCCCACACCGAGTTGATATTCTAGTGCCTTCTCCCGCCCAGGCTACGGGAGAAAAGCATCCACGAGCTCTATTCCTAAAGTTAATATTGTTTTATGTTTCTAAAGGAAACACTGACACTTTCCCTGACAGTGTATGTCTATAGTAAATCCCGATCAGAAGCCCCAGGGATCGGCATTGAGAGACTCCACGTCACCCCTAATTACAGCCCAAGGAACGAGCTGCTTCCCACACCTGTGGGCAAGCGGTGTGTTTTCCCAATCTCTTTTACACAATTAGTTGAACCTTCTTAGAAACTTAGTCAGACGATGATCCCTGAGGAGATGGCGGTTTGCTGTTCCTGCCTTCTGTCACATCCATGGGAATTAAGGAAAGAAAGCTACAGCTCCGGAGTAAGCCTGAAAGTGAAAGTGGTTCACGGGTACTTAAAAGACGCTGAGGCACTCCCCCTAAGCACACAGCTATCGGGCACCATCAAAGGAGATTAGAAACACAATTTCCAACAAATACACAAATTAACTCCAACGTAAAGCCCTTGATAAGGGATGTAAAATAAATGCAGGAAGGAAACAGAAATTCGTGGGACGCGCTCGCGTTTTTCTATTGATCTGCGGACGATGAAACAGACTATTTTTATATTTTTTTTTAACAGTCGCGAAGTTTTAAACTTTCTTTACTGGGTTTCAGTACCCCTTTAAGAACCACTCTTTTTTTTTTAAATAACCATCTGCGAGTTTATTTTTTTAGTCCTTCGTGTAAAACTTCTGTCAGCACAACATTCAACGAGACGCACGTTCTCAGAAGAAACCTGCCGCGATACAAGTATCACTGTGCCAGAAAACTGTCCGAATGATGCAAAGGCGTGTCTTTGGCAAACTGAATGCATAACACCAAACATTATTAGATTACTATATTAGGCTACTGTTTGTTCTGAATATCCCAGCAGCCCTTCAGACTTCGTTTTTATGCTATAAAAATCACATGAAAGTGATGGTCGCTTTTCCCTGGAGAAGAGGTACTCTAACATCGAACAAGAGACCCTAAAATTGATATAATCATCTCATCTCAAAGAGAGCATTGGAGGTGGTCTCGATAAGAACAGCGTCGCTTCAGCACCGTCTGTAGATGCTAATGGATCAGCGGCATCTACAACAGCATAAAACAACCCGGTAAATAACCAAGTACTCTCCACACAAGGAAATCAACGTGGAAACCCGTAGCGGAAAATTTTCTTTAACTGAATTTGCGTTTCCCAGCTTCTGTTCTAATGCTGAGAGAGCTAAAAGTTTTTATCCCACCACGTCTCGGCTACTAAATATGGCAGGTAGAAGTTCTCCTTTCTTCTTTCCCTTCGACAACTCTTCCTCTCTCTCTCAACTTGCACCGATTTTTCGTCTCTACTTTCCACAACACACTTCCGAGGTAGAGCAGGTAGAATAAACGCCACACCAAGAAGGAACCAGGATGAGCTCATGGGAGAGGCCCCTTCCCTTAAGAATTTTCCAGTTTTCCCTTGAAACATTCTATCTCACTCCACCTTCCCATACATATTCATTGAACTTCCAAAGACGGAATATTACAACCTCCACCAACATTTCCTTCCTTCATTTCCCTTTCTCTTTCATTTTTCTGTTCCCATTCATGTAATTTAATGTATTTCAGCTCTTAACATAAGCGAAACCCCCAAGCAGCCAGCTCCTGAACCATAGACAGCCCAACACACCCTAAGAGCAAATGAACACAATATTCACCAAACCGAGAGTAACCACACCTGGTTTCAAAGATAATTACTCCACTAATTACAATAATAATGAGGGACTCAGCAAACCTGGGAACGTCTTGAGTGTTTTCACACGTTGAAAAACGACAAAAGAGAAATAAAAGATCCGCAAAAACCTATTGCTGCCATTTGACGCGAGTAACGGGAAGATAAAAACTCAACAAAGAGATAATGAGGGTTTAAACAAACACCAACACAGGGCTAGAACTTACATTGTATAATTCTTAAACGAGAAACGCTGTTTTAATACACAGTCCCTCCATTAAAAAAAGACAAATAAAAAGAATTACCAAACACACCCACAAAAAAAAAATCCGAACAAACCATATTTCAGAACACACTTACCCCGCCTGAAGAAACCGGAGACACAGACTGTCCCTTCCCAACAGAACCGTTTTCTACTGTGGGGCCGGGCGGCGGCGGGAAGTTGGGGCTGAAAACCATCAGGTCGCTCTTGCCCGCGCCCTCCGCCACGCACAGGCTCCGGCTCTGGCGCTGCGAGTACGACCAGCTCCCCACTTCGCTGGCGCACACCAGCGTCGCCGCACCGGGCCCCGACACCACGCCCGCCCGCGCCGCACACCGCGACGCCCCGTACAGCACCACCGCCAGCACCAACACGCTCGACACCGAGCAGATGGCCACCACCAGCCC